AAATATAAGAATATACTGTAGGAAAGGTATATGATGAATACTAGATTCGTTCTTGTCATAGATCTTATTAGGCACAATAAGAGATTGGCAATAACTAATAATAGGATAAAATAATTATAAGAATATGTTGTAGGAAATTTATACAACGGATAAAAGATTCTTACTTACCTTATATATTATTATGCACAATAACGGTTTAACCCCTCCTAATTTTCGAAACCGTTACTAGGGGACGCTCTCTGGACTATAAATACTCTGCGATATTTTTTCTCACATTCTTCTTAACTTATCCACTTATTCATCAACATATAAATCTGTCGCGGAGAACGCGTTCCCTTTGGGAAGCACATGAATAATACATACACGCACACACACAAACGTTCATACGCACATTCACTCACTACACATACTTTGGACCAAAACGGTTTTCATAATCATTTGATACATATATCTTTGTCACTTGTATACCTTTGTTGTTAATATATTATCATTTGTTTGTACACATGTATTGGTCCTTGTCGTTATTATCCTTTATTTACGTGGACTCATATCTCGAGTCCGCCATTCAGGAGATAGCGTATTATTGCCAATTTCAAATACCGACGTTACTAACGCCTGCAACAAGTTGGTGACGCCCGACGTGATCATTAATTTTCTCCTGATAACAAGAAACACAAAAGACTACATATGTGCAAACTCAAATATCCATTTACACACCTTTTTCAAACCGATAGCCAGTGAAGAAAAACATCGACAAACTTCTCTTCATAACCTGCCTCTGCATGGTGGACACTATAAGCTTATAGCAAAAACAATTTACAGAGCTAGAAAATTTGTGATTAGACCCCATGAAAGTGCAAAATCAGAAATTTCAATCACTACAACACAGGGTGTTCTTCGATTTGGTAAATAGATTTTTCTTTTTTTTTCTTTTTTTTTGCAACACGTGAAACACGAAAAAGTCACTATTCGCCTTTCAATTACTGCTACATTGGTCCTTCACTACGCAAATAACAAGCTCTTCCATCCCTAGTGCCTTTTTGCTTGACCCTGCAGTATACGTCGATATCTTGATTCAATATACAGACTTCACAGTCATTTGACAATATTGATTCTAGCAAACAATAAACGCAGCACTGCGCTCGACTTCACCTCAACCGGCAGATATCTTTTAAAAATTGTTTTTTTTCGACAAAATTAACTTTAATCAACACTGTTTCTTCTTGGCTAACCAGATAAAGTGTGACATATCTCAAAAGGCAACTCATTGTCCTTTTTTTTTTTACTTATCGATGATGTCACTCGAACAACACTCGGTAGAAATTCAGCGTTGCCACAACGCTGCTCCTATTAAATTTTGTGCGCCATCTTTATCCACGCATAGCAAACAGGCGAGGGACAGGAACCAATACGACGGGACGACAAAAAACAATTCAGTGTAGAGCATTGGAAAAAAGACAAATTTTAATAGCAAACGCTGAACAATCTAAACAGTCGACACATCTTTCAGGACGCGCTACGACTCTGACTCACTAGAGAAAATAATACAGTACCCTGATGACAGCACAAGCACATACCGCACTTCCGACACCTTTTCTTTTCAGCTCACGAGGACAGAAACAAACTTACACGAACTTTAAATATAGACAGAAAAAAGTTCTACCCAGCTGGAGGGGAGTATTGTCAAGTTAAGCACTCCTAATTTTCGAAACTGCTATTAGGGGACGCTCTCCGGACTATAAATACTCTGCGATATTTTTTCACCTTCTTCTTACCCTATCCGCTTATTCGTAATCATGTAAATCTTTCTTGGAGAACTCGTTCCTTTTGGGAAACGCATGAACAATACACACACACACACACACAAACGTAGGTACGCACATTCACTCACTACACATACTTTGATCCAAAACGGTTTTCACATTCATTTGATACACACATCTTTGTCTTTGTCACTTGTATACTATTGTAGTTAATACATTGTCATTTGTTTGTACACATATATTGGTTCTTGTCGCTTTTTTTTTGCTTTATTTACGTGGACTCACATCTCGAGTCCGCCATTTTGTTGTGGGCATTTCAAGAGACAGCATGTTATTCACAATTTCAAATACCGACATTACCAACGCCCGCAACAACAATAAGAGATTGACAATAACTAATAATAGAATAGAACAATTATAAGAATATACTGCAAGAAAGGCTTTCGACGGATACATGATTCGTTCTTATTATAGATATCATTAGGCACAACAAGAGATTGACAAAAAACTAATCATCGAATACGTGAATTATAACATTATACAGTAATATATATATATGATATACAATGGATAGAAGATTCATTCTTACCGTAGATCATATTGGACACAATAAGACATTGGTAATAACTAATAATAGAATAGAACCATTATAATAATATACTGTGTGAATGTTATACGACATATATAAGAATCGTGCTTACTGTAGATCTTATTAGACACTGTTAAAGATTAAAAATAACTAATTATAGAATAGAACAATTATAAGAATATACTAAATGTTATATGACGGGTATAATATTTTTTCTTACCCTTGATCTTAGGCAGAATATGAGATTGAAAATAACTAATAATAGAATAAAACAATTTTAAGAATATACTTTAAGATAAACGACAAATATAATATTCTTTCTTGCCGTAGATCTTATTAGGCACAAGAAGAGATTGTCAATAACTAGTTATGGAATAGAACAATTATAAAAATATACTGTAAGTAAGATATGCGACGAATACAAGATTCTTTTTTTACTGTAGATTACATTAGGCACAGCAAGAGATTGACAACAACTCTTAATAGAACAGAACAAATATATCATTATACTGTAAGAAAGATATACGACAGATACAAGATTCGTTCTTACCATAGATGTTATTAGGCACAATAAGAGATTGACAATAACTAACGATAGAATTTAACAATTATAATAATATATTGTAAGAATTTTATACGACGGATAGAAAATTAGTTCATACCGTAGATCTTATTAAGCGCAATATATGCTTGATAATATCTAATAACAGAATAGAACAATTGTATCAATATACTGTTAGGAAACCATATTCCTTCTCAACATAGATCTTATTAGGTACAATCCGAGATTGAAAATAACTAATAATAGAATAGAACAATTTTAAGAATATAAAGCATATGATTTTATTAAATTATATTGTTTTATTAAATTGAGAACGCTCAGTTTTTAGTAATGGAACATTTATTTCTGGTGTGTGACAAAGGGCAACTGAACCGTGGAATGCTAAATTTAGGGCAACGATTGTCTAGAACATTGTTTTTGTTATGGGGTCCTCCCCTTTTCATATAAGTGGACTCTACCAGTGTTACTTGGAGTGCTGCCGTTAAATACCCAGAGAGAGAGAGAGAGAGAGAGAGAGAGAGAGAGAATGAGAGAGAATGAGAGAGAATGAGAGAGAATGAGAATGAATGAATATACGGACGAAGATAGCGTGAGGTAGCCTCTTGTAGAAGTCAGTTACAAGCACGTAGACTCTAAGGAAGTCCTACTTCGAGATTGTATATATCAATCTGTATTTGCTACTAACTGCGTTCCTGGACTTACTAACAGTATTACTCTTTGTATGATTGTGTAAATACATTTTATTTCTTATATTTATATATTGCGTTTGTCCTTCATTGGAGACCGAATTTCATCTCGGAATCCACAACGGTTTTTCAATTGAGAACTGAATTTGAAATCCGTTTTATGTTGTAATAAAAATTATATATAGTTGAGAATGGCGAATTTTTGACTTGCATATCTATATGAATTTTATAAACAGATAAATTTTCTTTGATTTTTAATAACCTGGCGAAATAATTATTTTTTAGTAAAAGAAAGTATTTCTTTTCTTGGATATATTAACTTTTCTCCTTTCAGTATTTTTATTTTTCAGTGGTTGAAAGAAAGGCCACTGAAAACAGAGAGAGAGAGAGAGAGAGAGAGAGAGAGAGAGAGAGAGAAACGAAAAGAAGAAAGAGAAGAAAAGAGAAAGTAGGGAATAAAAAAGATGTAGGAAGAGGAGAAAGAAAGAGTCACCAAAACAAAAAGAAGAAATCAAAGGAAGAGAAAGAAATCACCTTTTAGTTTCAATATGGCAGACGATTACTATTTATTATAGTTAGCTTAATCTGGCACAAGGCCTACAGAATCGCGGCCCGCTGTAAGCATAAATCACGTTTCGGTTGCAATTAGTGAGATTAACTGTAAGATTAACTTAGCCTTTATGAATGGAAGGAAATAAATATCTAAAATAAGGGGGAAATCTGTATCTCTGATAATTAAATCATATGATATATTTTTTTAAATATAACAAAAAATGTAACATTTTTTTTTAAGATAAAAGCATATAAATCTATTTTTCCCAAATTTAAATATCAGTCTAAAATATCTGCTCAAGAAAAATACTATAAATAGTAAAGAAAGTATCCTGTCTTATTGGGTGGTTATCAACATTCGATTGGCTAAACGAGGCGGAAGTTCCGCCCAGTAATACAACAGGATATTGCTTTAGCTTATAAATATAAGCAGGTTCGTACCAATCTAGAATCCACACGGCTACGCTGATATAAAGATTGGCAAAAACAAAGGTGGTTCTTCGGAGTTCTTGATAATATTTGTTTCCAAAAGATGATAGTCAACTTGTAACGTATATTTAATACAAATATATAAATATGAAAGAAAAATGTTCATGTTGATAATTTTATTTTATCTTACTCACCTGTGAACTTTTTTCCTGACACGAAATTCCGGATTTTATACACGTGAGTAAACATATTTGTACAAATGAAAGGAAAAAAAAAATAGAAAGAAAGAAAAACAATTAAGTTACCGCAAAGCATTGGATAACCAATTTAACACGTCACAACCGTAATTGATTTTTTACTTTTATTTATGAACAGATGCACACAAATGCACGGACAAGGATGCATACATATTGACACGAATGAATCTCTCTCTTTCTCTTTCTCTTTCTCTCTTTCTCTTTCTCTTTCTCTCTCTCTCTCTGTCTCTCTCTCTCTCTCTCTATATATATATATATATATATATATGTATGTGTGTGTGTCTGATTGAATAAATTACAAACATATATATTAATTATATATTTTTCCGTGTATTACAATGAAATGAGACAAGAAATGCACAGTAACAGTGATTTTCATTCCTTGCCTCATTTCATTGTAATACACGGAAAAATATTCGTGAATATGAAAGGATTATGCTAAAAATTTTGTAATTTATTTAATCAACCATGCCTAAAATAGAATTTGGTGCCTAAACACACACACACACACACACACACACACACACATATATATATATGGTTTGTTGCTCCCGCTGTATATTTAAAAATTCTTGATAAAATCCAAAGAAAAATCGATAATATTATTGGTCTTGACTTGGCATTCCGGCTTCAATCACTTTCTTACCACCTTAATGTTGCTTCCCTGTGCACTTTCTATAAATGCTATAATGGTAATTGTTCGAATGAATCTTCGCTATTGTACCAACTTTTTCTTCAAAAATTTAAATGCAATGTCAATCGCTATCTACTGTCTTCTTGATTCCTCTTCTTCTATTGTTCTCGCTCCTTAATGTTTATCTTTTTTCTTATTTTTTCTTAGTGGCTTTACTGCCTTGCATGGGGGTGATATAATATATATATATATATATATATATATATATATATATATATATATATATATATAAAACACGAATGGTAAATAAAACAGATAAAATTCTCTAATTTATCTACACGATTCCAAGTTTTGCAGAACTGCTTGACATTGACAAGGTTTTAGATATTAAATTCTTATGAACGTGAGCAAACTCGAAGTCGGGAAGATAAGTCTGAACATTTTATTTTATTTTTTATTATTCATACCCTATTTTTTAATATTGGTCACTTTCATTCCCCAAACTGTTTTTCAGTTAAGAGCCTTGTCCTCCAGAAATACACTTTTCAAATTTTTTTTTGTCTCAAAAATACAATTATTATGAAGAAATTACGTTTGGACTCGCATTTTATTTTTTTTAATTACATCCTGGGTCATAATCAGTGATCTAGGTCAAGCGCAGCGATGAATTTAATTAAACAAAAGACAGCTATTACCCCCCCACCTTCAAAAAAAGAAGAAAAACAAAGAAAAGAAAAGAACAAAAAACAAAAAAAACAACAAACAAAAAAACAAAAAAAAACACAAAACAAAAACTTATGTAGGCAGAGCTCTTCGCATCATATGGGTTGGACTTGTTGGCATTATTTTTGGGATTTTATTATTATTATTATTATTTATTCACATATATAAAAGACAATATGTATGTGTGTGTGCAAACCTTTCCAGTGTTATGAACTGAAAATCTACTATATGCATATCAGCGAACTGCGTAATTTCAAAAATTTCAAAAAATGTCAGTCGTTATCTTCTGTCTTAACTCCTGTTCTTTTCATTGTTCTAGCTGCTTCATCATGTTTCCTTTTTCTCATATTCTCTCACGCTCAGTAATCCATTACGTCTTAGTGGCTTTATTGCCTTGTATGGGGGATGCATAAAATGGTTTAAAAAAATACTATATTCGATCAGTAGTCCTTCATTTAAACGTATTTTATTGAATAGAACAGGCAAGGAATGTTTGTTAAGCCTTTTAATGAATTTCGTTTGATATCTAATTGCTCGACTTTTACTGTCTTTCATTGAAAATGACGAAAGTCGCTCGAAAGTACTCGGAATATCACGAATAATTTGAGCAGACACTTTGAAAATTTCCGTTCGACACAATATGTTTAACCAACATTTATTGTCCGTTCTATGCAGAGTGTGTACCATTTGTAATTGGTGTCTCTTCATAATTCATTGAATCATTTCAACTGAGACATAATTGAGAAGGAAAGAAACAAGTAATTATCAAGACACTAATGACGTTTGATATTTCCGTATTTTGATTTACTTATTCTGAGGTGTATCAAAAGTATTTTTGTTTAATTTTTACAAATCTTGACACGAAAGCCTATTTCCTGTTCACATCTAAAGTCTAAAATTTTTCGAACGCTTATGGTCAGTTTCTAACCTATCTTGAGTTTTGAAACGTCAAAAGTAACAACAGAAATGTTATACCCCTTAAAACGCTTAAATCAGTTTGGGGCGGTTTGGTTACATATTGTCTCATTTCTGACTATTTCTTGAACTCTGCAAGCAGTTTCAGTGGCTTTTCGGCACAATTTAAGATAAAGCCTCAAAATTTCAAGAATTTCTATACTTTTATACGCCATGATAATATCCGAAACTAAGTGTAACGCTAAATAGTATAGATAATGACATGATACATGATAATAATGATAATAATAATATATTCAAATCAGAGTTAGTTTTTATGGTGTACTTGAAATAAGACCGCCCGGTTGTCTCTCCTCTCCGGTCTTTTGAACGAGAGTAAAGGTTTATACTTTGTTTCCTGTTTAGGATAGGAACTGCGGTTCATTCTAAAATCTATTTCAGCTCTATACTTCTAACGTTTCTGCGTAAACTTTGAAACTTTATTTATTTAATTATATATTTTGCAATAGGAGAAGATAGGTTCGCCTATCGTCTGGTTCATACTCAGCCCCGGTTTTTTGAACAAGTGTAGAGGTGTATCCTTTGTTCTATGTTTAGGATTGGGTTTCCAGTTTCTCCTAAAGTTTTCTCATTCTCTTTCACTTCTATTAGCCCTTTAGTGGTATATCGTCTTGTTTGGGGTATATTGATTAAAAATGCCTTTAAAAAGAGAAAAATCCTTTTGATATATCCTTAAGTTACTTTTCATTTCACGTTATATTTTAATTATGAAAGACGAGCTTAACTTACGAAAATTTTACATGTTTTAACAAAAATTTTTCATTATCTCATATATTTGTTCTTCTTTCACCATTTAACTGTATCTTCTCATTATCTTCCTTATCCCATGGAATCTTCATTTCCCATTCATATTTTTTATCTGAATGCTACGCAAACATTAATTAGTTTCATATGCACAAAAAGGAAAAAGAAATGCACACTTATTCTCTCTTGCCTACTATCTTTTCTATTTCTCTATCTCTCTACAGAGAATCTTAAATTTTCACAAACTTTATGGCTTTTCTTTTCACTTGCATTTTAATTTTTACTTATTGTCTCTTGATATCCACACACCAAGCTTGTCTCTACCGCTCTCTATTTTCTGTCTCCATTACTTCCTTCTCACTATATATATATATATATATATATATATATATATATATGTAATCGATCCGTTGGTATATAATCCGGGTGGATCCTAGTAATATTAATTATTAAAACTCATCCACAGAGAGCTTGGTGTATTTATTATAACAGAGCATATGTATTTTCTAACAGCAAAAAACAAAAATTGCCTCAACATAGAGATAGTCTATTTCAAGCCAGTCTGTACGCGGCTATCATCAGCCCCTAAGTGTCCCTTAGGGGCTGATTAAAAAATTATATAGATGTTCATGGGAAGGACGCTGATACATAGTTCAAAATTAAAATAGTACAAAAGCAATACTGGGGTTTAAGCGCAGAAAATGGGGTGCATATATATATATTTTTAAATAAACAATAACCTATATGTTTTGCTTGACGAGTTGTGTAATCTTCAAAAATTAAGTCGCACACCCAACGTAAGTATATGTATATTTATTAATATATATGTTTTGCTCTGTCTGACCACATCGCGCACTATAATGTTTACACTTCTTGGCAAAATGTGTTAAGTATTTGCTTACCTGTGTATGTATGCACGCCAGCACGTGCGTATACAGTTGCTAATATCTTAGTTATTTTATTTACCTAACCCTATACTTATATATATATATATATATATATATATATATATGACAAAGTGGAAAAAAATATATATATGTATGTATGTATGTGTTTGTGTCTGTGTTGAATTGTGAACATTTTTGTTCTGTGGCAGTGCAAATTGAGTCTGTCAGCATTTGATACCCTCTTTAAAATATTTGAAGACAATACGCAGATATTTATTAAGCCGATCCCAATCACGTATAAAATTTCCCTAACACAGAAATCAACATAGAAAAAGTTCCATTCTAATAGTTTCTTTCCTCGCACTGTTTCGGTTTCTTGATTCCCTGCCAGTCAGTTACGTGCCATACGTGATACAGGATTGAGAGATCATAACCCTTTCAATTCATGACTAAGATTAGGCAGAAGATATTCCCGCAGTAGACTGCTGTTCTTTTCTCCGGTAGACTGGTTGACAACCAAAGCTATAAGATCCAGTCTCTACTGTTATTTAACCCATAGCTTGCGGAGGAGGGAGGGGTGAGAGAAGAGATGGATTCATACCTTTCCCAAGGGTATTTGCGCGTTAGTGAATGTAACTAACCCGACTGAGATTCGAACTCGAGTCTCTGATTTCTCATTCCAAGCAGTTGTCCATTACTCAACAGCGACCCCTGTCACATAAAATCTTCAGAAATTTAAATGTAACGTCAATCGCTAACTTCTGTCTTCCTGAATATTGTTATTTCATTGTCCTTTCTCCATTCTAGTCTTTTCATTCTCTTTCACTCTCGGCAACTCCTGCGTCTTAGTGGCTTTATTACCTTGCTTGGAGTGGAATTATTTAATAAAATGTCGATTTCAATCACAAAGCACGCCAGTCGCAGTAAACCTTCATTAAGCTTATATTAGTTTAGCAAGGGGCTACAAGTAGAGAGGTATCTATTAAAATCGAACTCACTACGCAAAGCGAGCCCAACTTGCTATGTTTGGCGTCCATACTGTGGGTGTTTTTAAAAAGATTTTACAACAATAGGCACTACACAATGTTTGGTTTGTAAGCTAAACTGAATAATTCTTAAGCATTTCTATTAATGACGTCAGTGTAGCTTAAGCAACACCCTCCCCACAAAAAAAAAAGAAAGAAGAAAAATGCAGAATTTAACAAAAATATTTACTAAACATTATTTTATATTGTACTCCAGAATTAGTAATTCTATTAGTTTATATGTGTGGATGGTGTAATGGATAGTGACTTAGAATGAGAAATTGGAGAACTGTATGGGTTAAATAGTAAGATTTGTATCTAGAAAATAATTGTGATCTCCAAGATAATGCAATATTCACTCGCAAATTAAAAATGTATATTTCATATATTTCAGCTTTAAATAAACCATAAAGAGTTGATAAACCGTAAAAAACAAATCAATATTGAAAATTTTTTAATAATGATTTAGTGATACAAGTCTTACTAATTAACCCATAGCTGGAGGAAAAAGATATGGATTCATATCTTTTTCCAACGATTATTTGCATGTAAGTGATATAACGAACCGAATTGGAACTCTGCCCTCCGATTTCTAGCTCCAAGCCATTATATCACTCGCACATCAAAGCTTCCAGCACCTGATATTCCCAAACGGTCGCCCATCTAGATACTGACAAGGTTTGACATTGCTTAACTTATATGATAGTACAGGAACCGGTGTTTCAACGCGATGTGACCGTAAGCCTGCGTGTTTATTTTATAATTACTTTTTGACTAGACTTTAATTTCATCGTATTTTTGTTACTTTTTATGACATTTTGTTTTTATATTCTACGGTCTTTAAGCAGCGCGTATCGGAAGTATGGAAGACTCCGATGTGATTTGAACTCGTATCTCGTAGTCCTTTGGAGCCCATGCAAATTCGGTCGTATTATTCCGTATGCTTCTTAACTTATATTGTAAGGAGTAGAACAGTATCAAAATATACTGACAAGAAAAAATAACAAAAAATAATAAGGAAAATCCTTCATCGAAGTCCATTAACGTATACAGTCTGACATGTTAACCTTGGATTTCCATTTATTCAAACGTTTCTGCGAGAGATTATTGGATTATTAGTTTATTTGATTATTAGTTACGACAAATGTATGCTGGTTATTGCTGATGACTGAGCAAATTTCATCAAATCTCTTGCATCTTTTTCAGTATCACGGCACACCTTAGCGTTAGTTTAGTTTTTCCTTCCGCTTGTGCTGTTACGCGTCGCGGGGAGACACAGTCGCCTGTCAGTGGCAAGGCGAGGTGATGTGGAGGTGAGATATCTCGTGGGATCTGAGTGTGTCTTCCATTGAGTCGCTCCAGCATCTTCTTGGTCTGCCTCTCGCTCTCCAGCTAGAGTACCTGAGGGTGTATGCTCGTAGGGTGGTAAGTAGATAGGCATACGAGTGAGGTGCCCGAACCACTTGATTCACTGTCGTTCGATGTGTTGTATGATTGGTATTGCTCCTACCATATCTCTTATTGCCTCATTCCTGATCTCGTCTCGCCTGGTCTTGTTCATTGCTTTCCACACCATAGCGCCGTCGTAATCTATGCATTTTCAATTATTATTTAATTGTCTAATTCACTTAATTTCTTTTCTTTAAAAAATACTTCATCTTAAGGAAGACAATAATGCCACTAAGACACAAGGAGTTAGTAAGCTTCAAAGAATATGAGAAACAGAAAAAACGTTATTAAGGAGTAAAAAAAAAAAATAATAAAAGAACAGAAATTAAGACAGAACATGAAAAATTGATATTGCATTTCAATTTTTAAAAATTTGACTGAATAGAAAGAAGCCGGAAGAGATTTAAACAAGTGAGAAGTGCGAGAGAAGAAACTGTTAACATAGAAATTACGGTTGCATATAGCAATTTCAACAGTAAAATGATGAGACTTGGTCGTCAATCTAATACTGCGCTCAAATTCATAAAGTCGAGCAACCAAAGAGGAAAGCTTCTCAGAACGATTACCATGAAACTTCAACTGTAAATTGATGAGCCCTAACCGCCATTCTAGTACGGCAGTGGGAAAGGGATTTATGCCAAGATGCCAACTTTAGATTGATAACTCCCTCTTTTCAGCTTGTACTTTTTTGGTTTGGTTTGTTTTCTTTTACGGCATATCGACCTCAATGGCTTACTTAATGCCGACAAGATTTTTATTGCGAGTAATCATGTTTTCAAAAATGTATTTGCTGCTAATATTTTTTTTTCAAAAAATGTATTTGCTGCTAATATTTTTTTTCAAAAATTTATTGTTAGTAATATTTTTACAAAAATGTATTGCTGATATTAAAACCTATTTTTGCACGTTTTTACCCCAGTTTGGGGGTTAAACACTTGCCCACAGCTGAGAACCCAACATGTACCACCATCCTGGGTCAGAATGGACCTGGGAGCAACAGCAATTAAGCTCCTCAAAACCTCCCGATCAGAGGCCTTTCTGTTGGATGTATTTTATCGTTTTACCCAGGGCGCGGATGTAGTTTATCGTCATGCCCAGGACGGTATACTTTTTTGCACGGTTCGAAGTGTGATTATTATGAGCACGACCGTACCTCTACAATCCCCGTGTTTTTGGTTTTCTTCTTTTTATTTCATTGAAATTTTTTTCTCCTTTGTTGCTTATATCTTCACACCATTATAGTACGACGTTATTTTGTAATCTTTTTGGCAGCATTCTTAGTGTTTACACTGATTGTTACGGCGCTGTGTTTTGAATAGTTTCAACTCTTCCTGTATAATTATGTAAATATGTTTGCAAGAATCTTTAAAACCGTTCCCATTGTTCTGGTCATTATGGACACAGCATTTATCTTCATGCCCTATAACTTTACTATAACTTTAGCAGTTCTCACTTAAAGGTTTGCTATTTGTTTGTTTATGGCCTACTGGAACAGCTGCTTGCACTATTTGGCAGGTCATCCTTTTTTTTATTTATAATTTTGATTTCCTAAGTCTCAGGAAGGAATTTACATTTTTTTGTCAAGGAATATTTCTGGCATGAGATTTTATAAAATCAACGTGTTATCTGTCATCCGTCGGTGTTGATCATGCTTAATGTCATAGATTTGTCCTTCGTCAAGTGTGTCCCAATAAAGAAGCACAGATCTGAAGAGATAAGAATCGATCGTTGAAGTATTCCTTACCACATGCCAAATGAATCTACGAATAAGAAACAACGTTCTTATCCCTCCCGATGCCAGTGTACAGATGTGACCATACAGATTACATAGGTATTCATAGGTGGGGTATGAATGATCCTGAACAAAAAACAAACAAAATTAACATATTCTACTAAGTGTTCTAATAAATAAGACTCAAGGACACATGCCCCAGTGGATAAAAGCGTTAGTTGGATCCAGTGACTTAACCCAAAAAGTTGTGAGTTCAATACCTGGTTACTGCAGTGGTGAACAAGAACTTGGAGAGTTGATTTAAAGGGAGATAACTCAAACATTCGGAAGAGGCATGGCATGTGGAACTAGAACAATCTACCCCAGTGGACAAAATAAATAGTTCTGTTCGAAATTACAATCCCCTGAAGAACGCCGGTGTTTACAACGGCCAAAACGTCATGAATATGGCAAGGAAGATGAGGAAAACAGTCTGGACAATGTAAATAATATAAATAAATAAGACTCAAGATAAACCTTTTTAAAACAGAAGCTATGAGCTGGAAATGGAATGAAAGCAGTGATGGCATCTAGCCAGAATCCGTTGTAAAAATTAATTATATGGATTTAGTAAACATTAAATACTTCATATATCTTCGTGAATGGAACAGTCATAATTAAATTAAATTAATTTAAATTTGAACATCGAAATTTGAAGAGAAAACTAAGCATAGATTAGGCTGCGCTAGAGGTAATATCATCCAACAGCGGAAATTGCTAAAAAACCAATGCATTAACATAAAAATTAGTACGACACGTGCAAAACCGTACGAAACTAGCTAACAGCAGTGGTTAGAAGAGCGTTAGTGGAAGCGGAAGCGGAAGTAGCATAAAGGGGATGTACTGTGGGATCAGAAACAGACGAAATAGGTTAATTGTTTATTCTCTCTCAAAAAAAAAAATGAATAAAGTAAGAACTCTCAACCAAAAATTCCCAGTTGGGTATTTTAACTGTTCTTTCACTTGACAAAAAAAACACTCGTCTACCAAGATGGAGCCTTACAGTTTTTTGTACATTATAAAAAACAAAAACAAACAAAAAAACAAAACAAAAAAAAACAAAAAAAAAAACAAGACATTATTTTACATTGGTTTTACTTCATGACCTGTTTTTATTACATTGCTAATACTAATATTATTTTTTATTACGTTATCACTTTTATCGATTGTTGACTTGATGTTCTTTTTGTTTTAGTCCAGGTCAAAGCCCTAGAAGAGAGAACAAAGTATGCATAAAAGAGAAGTGAATTTAAACCCTGTGGAATTAAAACAGGTCTACGTCAATGAAGCCTACATACCAGACAACAAGACAGTCAATGGCCACACTAGCGATTGTGGCTCTACTGTTAGCGTCATCAGTTCGACGCAACCCACTTCACAGACTCCCACAGAAACCCCGAAAAAAGACGATGAAATCAAACTTAAAAAATCAATCAGTCTCATTTCCTGTACAGCTATCCTGGTGGCCGTGACTGGTCATGTGTCTATATTTGTATCTCCTTCGGCCATTCTGATCACGTCCGGTTCTGTAGGGGCTTCTGTGATAATCTGGCTTGTAGGGGGTGTTATAAACTTAACGCAGGCTCTTTGTTTCGCAGAATTGGGTACCATATTCCCCAAAGCTGGAGGACCTTATGCTTACGTGTTGAAAACTTTTGGTCCACTTCCTGGATTTTTGATACTTTGGGGTTACCTAATTCTCATTGCTGGACCGTTTTGGGCCTTTTTAGGCCACACTGCAGCTTTGTATCTTTTAAAACCCGCTTTTCCTAACTGCAGTCCTCCTGAAATTGGCGTTAAGCTTCTCGCTGGCTGGATTATATGTAAGTTTATCATATTTTTTTACCATTATTTCTAATGCATAAATGTAATGTATATTTAAGACAAGTATATGCAATTCGAATACACTGATTCACGTATATATGAAATATCTATAATTATTTATGAACATAACAGGGTACTCGCGATGGATAAGAAGGTTGTTTCATTGTGTAGAGAAAATTCAAAATAAAGAAACTCGTAGTTAGATCTGGGACAATTTTCAAGATCTAAATCTAAAAAGAATTTACTGGTGAAAACATCTTCCCTACTTTGTGCCATTCAAAAGAAATTCTATTATGAATTGCAGAAAGTTAGACAAATTGTTATTGCATAACGACACAGTGAGTAACTGACTCGTTTGAATTACTGACATTTGGACACATTGTTATTGCATAACGACACAGTGAGTAACTGACTCGTTTGAATTACTGACATTTGGACACATTGTTATTGCATAACGACACAGTGAGTAACTGACTCGTTTGAATTACTGACATTTGGACACATTGTTATTGCATAACTTACAATGAGCAACTGATGCGTTTGAATGATATTTTCAAAATAAAAAATAAATTACTTTTTTCTGGTTTAAAAAGCTCACCATTAATTTTCCTTTGCATAACAATGTCTGTTCTAATTTTACGATACAGAAAAACGCTTATAGAAATGGGATGTCGACGCACCTTGTTGAGCTGAGAATTCTAAAAAAGATATCTAAAAGTTCAGTGAAAAACTAATCGAAAATACTTTGATGTCTGATTAATGATAATATCCATTTATATGAATAGGAGTAGAGAGGTTCGCTGATCGTCCGCTTCACACTCCTCCCTAGTCTTTTGAACGGAAATAAAGGTTTATTCCTCGTTTCTTGTTTAGGTTTGGGTTTCCGGTTCCTTTCAAAGTCTTCTCATTCTTTTTCACTCCTAGTAATCCCTTGCGTCTTAGTGTCATTATCGACTTGCTTGGGATGAATTGATTAAAAGAATAAAAGATTTCGGAGCATTTTCCACGATTGTTATAAGTCCTTCAAATCTGTGGGAATAAAGTCGAGTTGGCCTCTGGCCTCTCCTAACAGTGCTTTTAAAAGGTGAGCATTATGCATAACGACTGTCCGAAACCATATTGTATGCCTCAAGTGGGTGGTACGTTAGCAATAAAGTCCTGTGGTATTAGACTCTCTGTTAGAGTATCCGTCTTGTTGGCAGATAGCCAAAGTCTGTGTACCTGTACACATGTATACACTGACGTGCCAAAAGTCATAAGATCAAGTATCTTCTAGGACTTCCTACAATCATAGCAAAGAGCAGCAAGTCATCGGAAACCGCTACGTACATATAGAGTTGACTCATCCTCATTCCCTTTGTAAGGAGTAAGTTTCTTCTCCAGAACTGTTATGTCTTCCGAAATTATGCTTCCTCGACAACCACAATCTTAACCTCTTAAAGTCTAAGGTGAACAGTTACTTATCTTTCGTATCTTCATCAGTTATGTGCCATGCGTGATACACGCTTAGGCGATCATGTATCTTTCGATACATGACTGACGAGGCAGATTTTTCCCGCAGTAGGTTGCCATTTCTTTCTGCGGTAGACCGGTTGCCATCAAAGGCTATAGAACCCCGTCTGTCCTATTTACCCATAACTGGGGGATGGAGAAGAAGAGGATTCATGCCTTTCCCAAGGGTATTAGCACGTAAGTGAATATAATGGAATTCGAACTCGGCTCTCCGATTCCTCAGTCCGAGTCGCTATTCATTACTCCACCGTGCCTACATCTTAATCCATGTCTTTGTACACCTTTAAAATAATCCCATATATTAAACCTCTGCACTGATGGGCTCTTTGGCTTTGTACTGTTGCTGCTGGTGCTGTAGCTAAATCTCATGCCATGAAGGAATTGAGCCTGCGGGAGCCACCTTGTCCGTCTCACAATCTTGGCAGAGCGTCGGAACATCCTCTAGCGCTAGATTAATCTACTGGTGGCCCTGGTGGACGACATCCTTCCAGCGACTGCGTGGTATACCGGGATCGTTGCCATTTTTCAGATGGCATGTCGAACTGGTTGATGATTCTTGTAGAGTGGTAATCAGGTTGTCCCAAACCAGCGAGCATGGCGCTGAGCGATGGTGCGGAGGATGCTCTGACGACCAATGCTTTATAGTGGGTGAAAAAGTGTAAAAAGCATCCCAGGCCATTATGAAATTTCGACTAGCCTTGCATGGAACCCTGCTGAAAACTGAGGCTATAGGCCTCCCGAATCCAATTAGCGATGTCCCTAGCCAAAGTGATTCGCTGTGTCGTTGGGTATATAAGATTCGCCAGCGGCGCGTAGAAGTAGTCAACTGCTAGGATTGAGTCAAGTGAATTCCACAGTGAATCTCCAACTGCAGGATATCTACTAACTACCCTACGCGGTTAGATGTGGTACAAGGCCGAATTTAATGTGGGGTATCCAAGCTCGTAGGCTCGGCCAAAAATTGCCCGTAGACCCCGTATAAAACGGGGTCGGGTAGCTGTTTCTCGAGACGAGACGCTGCACCTTCGACATAGCCTCGTCTGGAGATCCCATCTGCCCGGAAGTAAAGAGTTTGACCAGCACAGCTAGAGACGAATCGCCAACTGCAGACCAACATAGAGTATTTACTACTGTATTTACGTGAATGGAGACATACCCATTATAGTCCGTAGGTATGCTACAACAATTACTTCAAACGTTATTTTAGTGGATATCCGTACCTTTATTTTAAACTATTTATTTTGTCTACTGGCCTGTATACTCGAGAAAACTTAATAAAGAACATATGCCCTCCCCACCTCTCGCCCCGCTAGGATTCGAAGATGGGTTCCCGTTTACAGGTGGAACCACCGTCTTATCTGGTGTACTTTGACAGCTCCGTTCAGAAGAGCTTCACAATCAAGCAAAGTTCTATTAAAAATAAAATCACTTAATTCTTTAGGATTTGTTTTGTTTACGTTTCGTATGAGAAATTGGGCAGTTATGCTTTATGCTGTAACTATATATAATTTTGTATATCAACAAACAGTATTTACAAAAAATAGTATGACAAATTTAGGATTTCATCGGACTGGGCTTTGTTGATATTGACACGTCTACACATCCGGACGAAACGAGAGACGCTGGTAGTTTCAAAATATTTAAAAAAAATATTTTTTGTTTTGACAGAATATTTTTTCAATCTAGCCAAATTCATCGGTATATTTTCTTTTTCTTTTTCTCTTCATCACCTTTGTCCCAGACTCCAAGAAGATACATGCCATTACTCCAATCAATTTCTTAGAATTTCTCGAATCTGGTTCTTTTCAAAACATTTTGCCTAAACAATCAACTTATTTCCGATATATTGATATATTAATATATGCTCGTGATACTAACTTACCGGATATTGTAGATAAACTAAACAAAGTCAAACACACATACAAGTTTACATACGAAATAGAAAAAAATACTTTTCCTTTCTTATACATCATGTTACACGGAGATGACAGCGGCCTAAAACTTAGTGTCCACCGAAAATTAACCAATAAAAATGACCTAATAAACTTCTATTCGCATCATAACAAAATACAATCGGGAATGGTCATTAGATTCAGTTCAAGAACATTCAGAATTTGCAGCCTTCAATATTTACACGAAGAGGAGAAATATATTGAAAATACTTTCAACATTCTTCAATACCTTATTTCATATTCAATTCGAACCAAAAGGCTCATAAATATATTCCAAAATAGAAGAGCTTTCCTTCCTGACAAACCCAACGAATCAAAAGATATATCATTCTACCCACTAACTCTATCACAACTACAACCGAAAAGAATTGATCTAAACTCAATACAAAATTAATCACAACTACATCAAAGACTTAATAAAGAAAACAAAAAACAAAACAACAAGCCAAAACTTGAAGGCGAAATTTACTCTATAAAGTTCAGGAATTGCCAGAATTAATACATTGGAGAAACCGCAATAAGTTTAAATAGACTATATGAACACTGAAGGGACATTTTAAAAAGCAACACACAAAACTCATTAGTTGGTCACTGTAACGAAATCGATCACAATTTTGACATAGGGAATGCTACTTTGATTAAAAGAGAAAATAATCCACTAAGACGTAAATGTCTGAAAAGTGTCTTGATCGCTAGTCAGCCATGGTAAATTTGCGTCTAGGCACTTACAATATATCACCATTCTTGATAGATTTTCTGTTGTCATAATGTGAGATAGTCAGAGACAAAGGTGATGGAGAGAAAAAGAAAAAAATACAGATGAATTTGGCTAGATTGAAAAAAATATTTTTTCCAAAAATTTGAAACTACTAGCGTCTCTCGTTTCGTGCGCATGTGTAGACGTAGCAACATCAACAAAGCCCAGTCTGATGAAATCCTAGCGGATGAAACGCGTCATAAAAACTTTATTCAATTTCTCATAATATATATATATATATATATATGTGTGTATGTGTGTGTGTGTGTGTGTGTGTGTGTGTGTGTGTTCTGAGCGAATTCCTTGCAATTAAAAAACTTTTTCAATTTTCAGTTTCTAGCTTTCAAAAAAGGCATCGCTGGGAACTTTTGCACAACCTAATATTACCCATCTGAAAGACCATTTCAGCTTTTTGTAAGGTACAACATGGCAAACATATGTGTTGATCAAGTGTCATTTTTTTCGTGATAATTATACCGAATTTCCTGCAGCTAATAAAAGGCGTTCAGTATAAACGCATGCGCTGTATAATGCCCAACGTTCAACACATTTATTACTCAACATAAAGAAAGGAATATTTACATAAATATGATGAATTCATCATTGTTTTAAAGATACTTTGGTATATCAAATATCATCTCATAATGAATGCATATTTGACATGGCGTTCTTTATTAAATGCCAATTTCAGTGAGAAGAATATTAGATTAATTTTAAGCATAAAATATTGAATTAATTTTCAAGTAACAATACCAAGTTTCCTAAATTACATTTTTCTTTTGGTTAATTTCGCACAAAAAAATGTTGTTTTTTACAATGAAAACATGAATTAACACGGCAAGCCTGAAGGAATAAAATCTTATACGTATTTTAATTAAATAAACTAAAGTTATTCCAAATGTAAAAAGCAAATTTTTCTTATGTCGACTACAGCAGCAATCTAGCACAAACCCAAGCCGAAAAAAAAAACCCTGGAAAAGTGAGATTTGAGATAGGCCTTCAGGTCTCGACGAGAGTTGCACGGTGACTTGGCCCTTAATAAAGAACGCTATGATATTTGAGAAAACATTTTTGCACTGTGATCCTGCAGGGATATAAATTAACTAACTAAAAATTTGTTTTTAAACAGTAACTGTGGTGGCTCTAAATAGTGTTTATATGAAATATGTAACAAAGGCTCAATCCCTACTGACCAGCACCAAAATATTCGCTCTATTGATCATTGTGATTGGAGGAATTGTGCTACTAGCTCAAGGTAAGTCCTGTTTTAACAAATCTGAACGTACTTTACTTTTGAGAATCAGATATTTCAATTGTTCCTACGGTAAGACAACCGCGTTGAGTCTGACTTTTGCATCTGTAGATTGAAAATAAATTTGAGGGTTAATAATATTTAGTGAATGAATCCCGTGTAGCAAACGCGTGTTAGTACAGACGCAAAAGAGGCCCCGGGTCGCTTGCGGACATGTCTGTCGATGCTAGTCACATCCGTGTTGCCCCCGTTAACAACAGAATAGCTTGACATATCCAGATATGTGCCTCTCAGTAACGGGTCTTCGTTAACTGTCTCATGTTAATAAAAGCAACAGGAAATCCAGCAGTAGGCAGACATGGTGTCTCATGAAGACATTCCCTTGGCGCATTTTGTTAGCAAGGTTGCGTGTCACCCGCCGTGTTGTAGTTTCTGAGGTAGTGGTCTCACTAGACATTAATCAGCATCATTTTGTTTCCTCCCGCTTCTTTTCCTTCTTTGTCTATTGTCCCGTAATTCTTAAGAGAATAATCGGTTAAGTGTTTCTCCCAACCTCAACATACCCTTGCCTTATTTTATAACACTCCATTGTTAATCTCTTCGTATATTTCACTCTGGAAAAGAAAATCATTTTGCTCAGTCAAACTGTTTTGTACCCACTTATAGAGATATGTTATCAGAGAAATAAAACCATATACTGAAATATAATAACGATTAAAAACAACTAAACTAGTTTATCGGTCCTTTCTCATAGCAAAAATCGTAAACAAATACAAACCCCAAAAAACAGAATGTACACAACGACTAAAAAAATTATGCAACTTCGGACCAATGTTATAGCAATTTTTCAAGCGTAGCTCGGATGTGGCACAAGGCGGAAAGTATGGGGCACCCAGTGAGGATCGAACTCACTTCTCAGTCGTAATTGTTCTAGCGAGACAAGCTTGATAACCATTACACGACCTCGAGGTGCCCAAATGATTTTCCAAGCGTAGCTTGGATGTGGCACAAGGCCGAAAGTGAGGGGCACCCAGTGAGGATCGAACTCACTATTCATTCGTAATTGTTTAAGCGAGACAAGCTTGACAACCATTACACCACCTCGAGGCACCCCGGACCAATTTTATATGCAAAGGAAAAATATAACATTAAAACACACCAACCACTTCTGCTTAGTAAGTTGGCTGGTAGGAATTAATGTACATTAAGTCCAAAATTTTCAAATGATAATCAGGAGACATTTTTTGCAGCTACGCCTGGATGGAATTTGCATTCAATTTCACACCAGATCAAGCGAAACCAAGTGCAAGGTTGATCTGTGGTCACTCCAGCTCGCAGAATGCAGAAGCTGTATTCGGTTTTGCAAGCGTGTGAACGACGGGGAATTAGATATAATCAACCGCCACAGAGAGGAGTGGACACTCTCTCAGACATTGCAGACGAGATTGTAAAGTCACGTATCGGATGCTGACAGTGACTGACGAAACAGCGGAGAGAAAGAAAATGTAATCTTAAATATGAAAGATTCAAGTCTTGTGTTATTTATTAGTCATGCTAACCTCCAGGTTAAAAACTCTTTCTTTGTTCTTCGGTTCATATTTCCCCACTGAAATGTGGTTATTGAATCATTTGCGAGAGTGTCTATTTCTATGAAAGCTGATTCACTATATCGGGTCAGACAATTTTTTCACGCCAGAATCCATCTATCACATTTATAAATCTACCATTCGTCCGTGCATTGAGTTTGGCTGCCATATCTGGTCTGGTACTAATACGATATATCTCGAGATTATCAAAAAACCTCCAAAGGTCTGTAATGTATTCGATGCTGATGCAACTCGACTTCAGTCACTTTCTCACTGACGTGACATGGCTTCCCTCTGTCTTTTCTACAAATATTTTCATGGCAACTGTTCTCATGAGCTCTTCTCCTTGGTGCCTCGATTGCATGAATTTAAACGTGCTACTAGACTGGCATCTAGGTCTCATCATTTTTCTGTTGAGATAGCTAGATGCAAGCATCTGTTCTATTCTAATATTTTCTTTCTTCGCACTTCCCACCTGTGGAACTCCCTTCCAATTTCTTGCTTCCTTGATAACTACAATCTTCAAAAATTTAAATGCAATGCCAATTGCCATCTTCTGTCGTCCTGAAATCTTTTCTTTTAGTGTATAATATATAATTATATTTTTGTAATTATTTTTATATCTACCGTGGAACATAACATACCAATTATTTGCGAATTTTGACTCAGGAGCTCAGGCAAAAGGGTTAAAATTGTTCAGGAACACAGGGCCCAAAGGGTTAAGTTATCAAAAGCCGCCAACATGGTTAGCAGCAAGATTTTGCCACAAATTATTTCGCCAATGGACCGTCAATATCCGGTATTTGGGGGGGGTATTCTTTTCCTCTTCTTTTTTTTTATTTGAGAGAGAAATATAGAGAGAAAGAGAGAAAAAGAGAAGGATTTTAAGGGAAAGCAAATGCTTTGTTTTAATTTGAATTCTTTTCTATTTGTTTGTATATTTTTGTATTTTATTTTTTGGACTCGCCACAATTCTAAATGAGAATGAAAAAACGCACCCACACGATAAAAGGAAATTACCATCATCGGACGCATTTAAAGAAGAATTCTTTCATTGGGGTTTTATGAAAGTGATATTCTTTCTTGATTTATTGTATTCTGTTAAAATAAATTCCCGTAAAAAATACAACAATTGCTACGGCCCTGTGTTTAAAATATATTGTTTAAAAACCATAATGAAATTCTGTCCCCCCCCACAGATTATTTCAACAAAAAACTGTTTATTATTTTCGTAGGAAACTATGAAAATTTCAAGGAACCATTCGAAACAACAAGTCATGAAGCAGGCGAGATAGCAATGGCCATATTTTATTCGATTTTCTCCTATGGAGGATGGTAAGTAATAAAGTTTTTTGTCTCATAACAGTGCTGTATAAAGGGTGATTGAAAAGTAACTCCCTATTTTATGTATGATAGACACTCCCGTTTAACTATAATTTTTACAAGACGGGAGAGTTCATACATAAAATAGGGATTTATTTATCAATCACCCTGTATAAAAAAGTCAAGATTTTAAGTTCAAATTTAAAGGAAAAACTTCAGGTTGACCTAATATTTCGCTTGAGTTGGGAAGTGAAATATTCCTCATGAACAAAGAAATAATAAAAACAAAAGATTTATAATGATATTATGATTATGTCCAATCTAATTTTTAAAAATTCTTGAAAAGAAAAAATATTTTTATTTAAACTTTCCGCGTTTCAGTGTAAAATGCCATCTAGAACTTAGAACCACAAGAGAAAGGAATTTATGGGGAGCTAAAATTAGAATTATTGTCTTTATTAATATTGGTTTTAGTATTTATAATGGATTTTCATCGGGTATCTGATAAAAGATTAAAATTAGAACGTGGGGATTGTGAATCTAACCCAATTTGTCCTCTTCATGGCACGTATTTTTTTTCAAGAGCTCTCAGCTGTCAAACTAGAGAGAACTTTTAATAAAGATTCCCAACTATGTGCCTTATCAGCATTTTCTTTCATGTCTAAAATTCAACGAATCTTCTTTTGCATGCGTAAGCTCATTATATACAGGGTGATTGAAAAGTAACTCCCTATTTTATGTGTGATGGATTCTCCCGTCTAACTATAAGTTTTACAAGACGGGAGAGTCCATCATACATAAAATAGGGAGTTAATTTTCAATCATCCTGTATATTCCTAGAGCTCAGTTACCACTGAAAAGTAAGTTCGACCCTCGCTGGCTACTCTATAGTTGTGTCACAACTAAGCTTAGTGGATCGCTAATGAGCTTACGGCTACATCACGTTCAAACACCGGTACGATCACTGAAGTTAAGTAACGTCGAGGCTGGTCAGTACCTAGGTGGGTGACCGCTTGATAATACCAGGTCCTGTAAGTTTGGATGTGCGGGTGGTGTAATGGATATTGTTAATGGGAAAGCCAAGTTCCAATTTCAACTGGGTTTGTTATATTCACTTGCGTACAAATACTCACGGGAAAGATATGAACCCATATATTTTCCCCACCAGCTATGGGTTAAAAATTAGTAAGACATTCATTATTATATATATAAAAAAAGAAATTTTTAAAATCTAAAATTATTTTCTGGCTTTAAATAACCTGCAAAGGGTTGATAAACAGTAGAAAACGAAACAATCAATCAAAACTAATTTATGTTCACCCGCCGAGGCAAGAAAAAATTACCAAAATTTAACCAAAATTTTGAAGGTTCTAAAATGGATTAAAAATACAATCTAATAATTAAAAGTAAAACAAACTTTGGTCTTTCTTAATAACAAAGATTTTGACGATAAAATTTGGTTTTATTGAGTTTGGGTCATTTTTTTTATAAGGCATGCTCATTTTTTAGCGAATCTTATTACAGGTTGATTGAAAAGAAACTCTCAATTTTAAAATACTTATAATTTATTTATTAACTATAATTTTCACAAGAAATCGATATGAGAAGAAAGCGTTTAGCATGAGGTTTTATTTAAAATTCAATATGGACACCAGATTTTGCTACCAGCTTCTCGAGCTGCATAGGAATCGCGTGAACTGATTACATCAAGAACTCTTGTGGAATGAAAGACAACTTCTTGTATTCGCTCTTTAAGTTCTTCCAAAGTCTTGATTTGGTATAGTAGACCCTTTAACCAACCCTAAAGAAAAAAGTCAAGGCTCCTGGCTGTCCACTCATAAATAGGAAGTTACTTTTCAATCACCCTGTATATTATATATTTTAGCGAATCTATTTTTATATTATATGATTATTGATATATGCTGTTTTTTTTTCACAGGCAAGTAATGACAAGTCTTGTGGAAGAGATGAAAAATCCAGGAAGGTTAGTGTTCTAGTTTCTGTTTAACCGACTTTAATTCTAACATCGCTTTAGTCGTAAAATCAGTGTATCTAATGACATTTAAATTATAATAAACATTTATGCATGTATCGAGTAACATCTGAACGATGCGTTTGTTTTTACCTCTTTACAAGGTGCTGAAAACTTTGTTAACTGAAAACATTTAATGTGTTCTTTTAAAACGCCAATAAGAATATCTTATTAAATAAATTTTTACTAATTTTATGGACTATTCGCAAGATTTCAGGAGATAACATTTAGAAACTTTATTACCAATCACGTTCTTTACATAACATTTTTGCGTGGTGCAGTAAAATTCGAGTGCGCATGCATCATTAAATTAATTTTTATGACAATCGTTGAACTGATTTTTTTTTTTCACTACAGCATGAGTAGAGGGTTACTGAATGATGTTTTATGAGCGTAAGAAGAGGAAATAAGAAGTGCTGTTTAGGAAATGTAACTCTAGACTTGAAGAGGTTAAGATTGTAGCGATCAGGAAAACATCCTCTCAAGAGTTTTTTTCCACAAAGTAGCAGTTTTTGATAATGAAATACGACAGATATAGCGGTTGATTCATATTAATTTTCTAAGGGTAGCTTAGATGTGGCACAAGGCCGAATGAATGGGGTACCCAATGAGAATCGAACTCACTATTCAGTTGAAACTGTTTTAGCAAGACAAGCTTGCTAACCATTACACCACGCCGAGGTGCCCTATTGATTTCCTAAGCGTAGCTTAGATGTAGCACAAGGCCGAAGGTATGGGGCACCCACTGAGGATCGAACTCGCTACTCACTCGTAAATGATTTAGCGAGACAAGCTTACTAACCATTAAGCCACGCCAAGGTGCCCTAGTGGTTGATTCATATCTATATACGCAGTATCCTGCTTAAATATATAGATACATCCTTTATTTTCTGGTCCAATCAGGAAGGTGAGCAAACAATGTTTGATCACATGAGCAGGGATAGAAGAATCGATGACAACAATAAAAATATATCTGCAGTGGTATATCTACCATACACAAGGGGTGTATCAGAAAAGAGTATCTGCGGTCTATACAGCATCTGGGTAGGGGGTCCAAAAGTAGTTCAATCCCTTCGAAGATATGTCTCTCGAACCAACCTTCTCCCTGCCAACTGTATAGGAAAACATAACCAAGACCTGTGTGTAATATAAAGATCAGAGAAAATAACCTTGGCGTAGATCAGGACATCACTTGAAAATAGACTTCGCGCATATGAAAGAATAACCCGGATATCATTTAAAAATACCTGACTGCGTTGGCGATACGAGCCCCAGCAGCGGAAATTAAACTTAGATAAATATAGGTCTATGGACAGTCAGAGGAGAGAAAATCAGGCGAACATTTAAACATTGTGCTCCTCGAGGGAGCGGGTTGCATCACATGTGGGTTATGGGACGAAAAATGAAATTTGAAGTTAGTTGAGATTGTTTTGGTATGAAAGGCAGAAAGATCGTCTCTAATAAAAAATGAACAGTAATAAGCAACTGTTAAAGAAAACTTTTGTGGTAGAGTTCCTATTCCCACTCTTAATCCTGGCAGGTGTAAATTCCATACCTGGCTCAGTAGTGCGTAAAAAGACTCTGGCTCAGTGGAAATAAAAAAAAAAAAACGTAATGAAAGATAACTAGGTAAGGGGGAATTAACTGATGTACGGTATTCTTTAAGCATATGAATAATATATTCCTGTCGATTGAATAAAGTATTCGGTTTCAAATTCTAATAAGTTTAACAATTATGGCAGGATTGTGGAAAATAAAAGTTACCAGCGATGGACTCTACCCATAAAGGCGGAAGCACTGCTGTTGGTTTCTCGGTAGACTTGATTGAATCTTCTTGTTTTCTCCCACCTGGTTAAACTGTGATTGTGCTTATAAGGGGCGTTGTTAATAGATGAAGCGGTTACTATAGTTACCAATTCATCTGTTCTGCAACTCTACCAATTATTATCTGGACTTTCTTTGCGACTTTCCTGTTATTTGAAGATAGAGCCAAACCCGTCTCTGTCGAAAATTAGCAGAATTTTCGATAAGATACTTGAAGGCATTTTCGTTAAAGTAAATGTAACAAACTCTACTAGAATTCGAACTCGGCTCTCCGATTTAAATTCCCGAGCCGCTATCCGAACATCCCAAATTTTAAATATCAAGAAAATAATATTAATTTTGATGATTTCTTTTTAACAGTGGTACTGTAACATTTTTTTTTTATATTTTTAGATTATGAAATCTTATAGCTATTGTTTAATAATAAAATAAAAAATAGTTGCCTCTCTAAGTTCTTTAGTAACGAATAGTATGGAGTGTTTAAAATATTATTCTTCTATGCTTCCATACTATGCTCAAATTAACGAAGCCAGAACATCTTCACATAATTCGCTGTTCTGCAAAGTTGATACGTGTTAATATTTATTCAGTTTAAACACTGGATGTCGTCATTGAGTAGATACAGCTGTGAAAGAACTGTTTCTGTCTTCTTTTACTTACTTTGTGCATAATTCTTTAATTTTTTTTTTTTTTTTTTTTGGTGAGGGGATTTTTAATTGTTGACTGAAGAGTATATTCTTGCTAACTTTGCAAAGATAGTTGTCTCCCCAAAGTACTTGACTATTAAATTGATGTTTAGCTATTCTGTTAGAAAAACGAAATTTTTGTCATTCATTTAACAAGCAGGTTGGCAAAGTGATCGATTGATCGACTAATTAGTTGGGCCATTGGCATTTTGATTGATTGATAACGTCTACTTAACTAGGGAGATACAGGGAGCTTTATAAAAACTATGTGTTTTACAAATTTAATTTAATTTTATAAAATATGTTAATTTGAATCATAGTAAGAAGTTCCAATCTAACAGCAAATTCCTAAGAACCGCTGCTTTGTGGAACAAACTCCCGACAGAATGTTTTATTAATGACTACACTCTTGGGCTATTCAAGTCTAGAGTTAACCGTTATCTTTCTTGAATTGCCCCATGAACTTGACTTCTGGCACTTTCTTACGCTGATACAACATCACACAGAAACCATCTACCTTGAGTGGCTTTTAGGCCTTGTATTCTTCAAATTGAAATCAAGATTCTTTTTAAGAAATTGTTTAAAAGTTTACGTAGTTGTATGAAAGTCAAGAATTTTTAAATTAGCGTAAAACGCCAGTCAGGTGACCTTGATCATCAAAATTAATTAAGTAGCTCTCTGAATACCTCTGTCAATTAACTACCAAGGTGTCATTATAGTAGTATAAATTACAAGCAGTTTTATTGGTAAATTTGCAGATTAAGCCCTCGGAAACCAATTGTAATGAAAATTTCCATTCTGGTGTGAAATTACCTGATTAATTCCAAAATAAAATTATAGTTTGCGGAAGAAAATCGTTTAGGAGTTAACGACAATATAAGTTCGGCCTTATTCGCGTCTAGACCGGCCACCATTTCTGGTACTGTTTACATATGTTTGCCTCGAGTAGTAATAAGCAGAAGGTTACTTAGTTAACGGCCTTTTTACTGATCTTCTTATTTTCTTGATTACTGCGCAATTCGCGAGATTTAATTTAAAGTTCGCGCATTAAAGTTCGCATAATCAAGACATGTGAAGCTTCCGTGTATTACTACTCGAGGCAAACGTATATAAACAAAGCTAGTAATGGCGGCTGGGCTGTAACCGCGACGCGAATAAGGCCGAACTTGTATTGCCAGTAATTCCTAAACGGTTTTCTTTAACAAGCTTTTATTGTTTTTTTTTTTTTTTTTTTTTTTTTTTTTAAATAAGCACGCAAATTTACACAAGAATGGAAATTTTCATTACAATAGATTTCCGGGGCTTAATCTGCACATTTACCGTTTTATTTGCTTTGTGGAAATAAAATAAAACCATTTTTTGCATATTTGGTAATTTTGAAACTTACAGATTATTTTTTTAATATTGGAATTTTAATTGGATTTTTCAAAATAAGACGTTTTTGGTTATCGTTTAAAAACTAGAGAGAACACTGAAGGCAATATATGAAAAGAAAATGGACTCTGAGGTCAACAGAAAGCGGCGATAGTCTATTTGCATGCTTGAATGCAATGTTCAGGCGGACTGAAAATTGTGTTTAAGCACGAAAACACACTGTCCTGAACTGCTCGGTTCCATGTCTATTTGACTTTTAAACAAAAATGTCTCAAACATAGGCGGCCATCATTGTCAAACTTTTCAATAATGTCAGCAACGTCAGTGGCAAGTATATTTATTAACTTTTAATCATTTCACCCCAAGCAAGGCGAGAAAGCCATTAAGATGCAAGAGGTTATTGATAGTAAAAGAAGCTGAGAAAATGTTATTGAATAAAACGGACAATAAAAGAATGACATTCAAAAAAGACAAAAGATGATGAGGCATTTAAATAAAATCAAAATAAAATTAACGTTTTTTAAAAGGGGCGGATATCTTCGAATATGTAAGAGAAGCGTTCACGTAGATTAATAAAAAAGGATTAATAATGGACTTATAAGCACGGATTAAATAATTGAATTAATTCCCAGATTACATTCCATGTTTTGTTCATTCATTCAATTCGATTGGAGCTGCTGCTGATCGTTGTCAAAAGGCATGCATTTTTTCCAAAGTTGTGAGAAACTTACATTCATTCTTTTCTGCTTCGATTTATCAGTCGGTGTGAAATCTTTTCGATTGCATTATCTGACGGCGTCTCTCGTTTGCACATTGCCAAAAAATGTTGGATAACTGGTGAGCATGTAACAAGAACACTTTTGCGTACATTTTTCTGCAATAAGGAAAAGAAGACAGAGTGTCGTCATCATGTTTGTGGATTATTTTGTCGCAAGATGAAGTCGGAATCAGGAATTACGGTTATATTATGGGATTAAATATTACAACTTTTCAAATGACCAAGACTTCTTTGCAATCTTCTGGCGAAGACATTTTTATAATCATATCACCCTATGCAAGGCAGTGAAG